AATATCTTTGATCTGCAATTGGTTGAATCCATGGATGAAAAACATTGTATACTGAGTACTGACTGTATTACCAAGTGTTTAGGAATACTTAATTTACAGAAATGAGCATTTCTCTGTAAGCTGATTTGAATACAACTCCATTAAAGGATTTTATAAATTAACTTAATAATATCATCCAGAGGGAGAGAAAAAACTTATATATTTAACATACATAAATATGTACAAAAACATGTAAATGTACCTAAATTATAGACATGTGGAAATGGACATCTTACATCTTTCATTAGAAAATTTTATCTATGAGATAGTAAAACGTAGTAATTCAACCTCACTGGTTTATCTTCACTTTATATTTTCATTTGAATTCTGTTGCAGGCAAGGGGATAAGTTAAAATGGCTTATTTATCAATATTTTGGAGGAGACTTTTAATTTTCTTTTGCTTTAACATGTAATCTGATAAGGCAGTGACATAATTTTAGGCCAGTATCTGAGGAGACCCTTAACAGCTGCAAAACCCTTCTGAGTGGGCAGAATGTGCAGTTCTGTTTTCTAGTAGGCCTTTTTTGACTCTTTTCAGCCCAAAGTGGTTGCCTTTGGTGGTGCTTCCTTAGTCTGCTGAGATTCCTTCATGTGGGCCTAAAGGTCAAGTGAGTGTCAAGAGCCAAGGGGCTAGGTGGGAAGAGAAAAGTCTATGTGGTGCAGAGAGGGATGGAAAAGGTAGGATTTGAAGGGGACACATCAAATGACTCAAGGGAACTGGAGGAAAGATCAAAAGTAGTGAAAGTGGGAAATAGGAAAAGCTATGACAGGAAGGGAAAGGGCTAAGGAGCCAGACTGAGATTCCAAACTATCTTTAGTAAAACTGTGTCCAAAATAAATGAAATTGAAAAGTGTTGGTGGGGCATATACTCAGCAAGTATTTAGGAATGGTATATTCAGTCCACTGAGATACTTCCAAGATCTTAAATAGTAGTAGCTTTATAGTCACGAACACAGAAGTTTGGGATTCTAACCCAACTTTTCAGTTTCTTGCAAGTGCTTGCTTGCCTGGGACTCTAACGCAATTTGTGTTTGTCTGTGACTCCAACCTTAGAGGGAAGACCATAACTCAAACTCAGCCTCTGTTTGTCTGGGACTCTAACCTATATTCAGGGGATATTTGTCTGGACCAATAATTTGAAGTCAGGCCCAACAAAGGATCCCAAATCAATCAATCAGGAATAAATACAAAGGCTGCAAAGGAGTACCCCATGCTCCAGAATGAATCTAGTTTATTTCCATTTTAGCACTGTAGTTGTCAAATAACAACCAGAGCTTTTAGAAGAATAAAAACAGGTTTTATTGAGGACTATTGCAATGGGAAAGGGGAATATCAGTATAGAACACGCTCAATTCCAAAAACAGCATGAGAAATTTGGAATTTATAAACAAAGAGCTTTGAGGGGGAGCTTAGTAAATGGAAAATTGCTGAGAGCAAACAGAAAGAGCAGGTTGTGTCTAAACCCACCTAACAGTCGTGCCAGGTTGATCTGTCATCACCTGGTGGATTTTGAAGGATGATAAACCTGATTAGATATTGAGGGTAATCAAGCTTAAGGATGAGATACACTTGCTAAACTGGTTTAGCAGGGTTCACACTAATGATTTCATAAGGATGTGCACAGATGGGCTTGGGGGAGTGTTCAGAGCATACCTAAGGTTTGTGGAAGCAAGAATCTGTCAATACCAAAGGAAAATTGAATAACTATTACACAATTAATGAAAGGAAGAGTATATCTGGAATACAGGAGATTCTTTAGTGTTTCTATTACTATAACTCTGCCTTGTGGTTAAGTTCATTGGAAAATTACAACTCAATCTAGGCAGAACTACTAACAGTCCATCCCCTCTGGAATGAAGGTCTGGGTCACCCTACCTAGTAAAGTTCCACAAGCTGAGGTGATTGCTGATAAAAAGGGAATTCATAATAGATAGCGGATGAAAGTATTTACTAATTTAGCTGCTACCACTTTACCAGTTACACAAATGAGGACTGTCAGTGTCATAAGGCTTCCCGCCTTATTGTGTTGTGATTACATGTGTATATGTGCGTGTATAGCAAATATATATATATATGTATATATATATATGTATATATATATATATACATATATATATATATATCAGATGTCTTTGCATGTTTCAGAGTGTCTAGATGAATAAACCTCACTCAAGTACTTTCCTTCTTCTAGGAAAGAGGTCAGTGGGTTGCACCAGGCTAGGCAGAATTATGACCTTATTATTGTCTTTTCTTGAAGGTTAAGTATGGTTGAAGTTCATGGTTGTAGGTGACAAGTGGACAAGGGGTAGAGTTGTGATAGTAAATTTCCTGGGCTAAGGGATGTACAGATAGCTGGTAAATCCTTATTTCTGTGTACATCTGTAAGAGGGTTTCCAAAAGAGATTGGCTTTGATTCAGTGACTGAGTAGAGAGATCTGCCCTGACCAATGTGAGAGAAACATTCATTCAGAATAGAGGCCCATAGTGGGATGAAAAGCAAAGAAAGGAAAAAACAATGTTTTGTACTGTCTCCTGGAACTAGAATATCTATACTTTATTGCCCTGGGGCATCACATATTCTGGTTCTTGGGCCTTTGAACTCTGGGATTTACACCAAGGGCTTCTTCATTCTAATGCCTTTGATTTGGGAGTAGCAGTTATGCCATGAAATCCCCTTGTTCTTAGGCTTTTGGACTCAGATTGAATTATGCCACCAGATTTCCTGGTTTTTCACCTATTGGGTGGCATATTGTGGGATGTTTACCCTCTATAATCACCAGAGTGAATTCCTTTAAGAAATGTTCATTATTATCTATCTATTTTTATATCCTTCTGTCCTATAACTTCTGATTTTCTGGAAAACCCTGTCAAATACAGATTTTGGCATGGAGAGAGGTTCTAGGGATATAATTTTTAGATGAGTTTTCTTGTTTGGGAAATTTCTGGAATTACTCTAATTAGATATAAAGATGCTAGTGACTGTTTCCATTAGAAAACACAGCTCTGTGCATGGTGTGACCTATTTATGGAGACACACAAAAATATCTGCATTGAATATTTCTCATCAGTCATTTATAAAAAGCAAAAAGCTATATGTATATGATCCTTTCTAATATTTTTGGAAAGCAAAGAATATAACAACATTGGTTTTTTCCTCCTAATATTGCTGGACAAAGTGTTGGGTTGGGGGAAATATGAGCTTATACTTGGATATCCATTTCCCTCTTCCGTTTTGGGAAACTTTCAACCATAATTTCATCAAATAATTTCTCTATCCCCCTCTGTTTTTTTCTCATTTTGGCTTTTTTTAATTTTTAATGTTAATTTTAATTTTTATTAAAGTATAATCAGTTTACAATGTCAATTTCTGGGGTACAGCATAATGCTTCATTAGTAGATACACATATTTGTTTTCATATTCTTTTTCATTATAGGTTACTATAAGATTTTTAAAATTTTATTTTATTGAGTTATAGTCAGTTTACAATGTTGTGTCAATTTCTTGTGTAGAGCACAATATTCAGTTATACATGAACATACATATATTCATTATCACTTTTTTTCCAACCACAAACTACCACAAGATCTTGTATATATTTCCCTGTGCTATATGGTATAATCTTGTTTATCTATTCTATATACACCTGGAAGTATCTACCAATTTCAAACTCCCAGTATTTCCCATCCCACCCCCAGCTACCACAACTTTGTATTCTTTTTGGAACTCATAATTTTAATGCCAGTATGTGTGATGTTCTCCTACAAATCCCTTAAACTCTTCTA